GGGATTGCATAACAATGAAGGAATTTTTCTTTCACTTTTCAAAGAGAAGAGCGAACTAAGAGGGGAGGAGTGGGCAGGGAGAAAAGTGTAACAATGAATGAATGGAAATTAAAGAAAAAGAGTAAAGTTAAAAAAAAAATTATGTATCCAAATTTTGTAAATAAACCACTATTTTTTTAATAAAAAGGAAGAAGGAAGAAGGAAAAGGAGGAGGAGGAGGAGGAGAAGAAGAAGAAGAAGACGACGACGACGAAGAAGAAGAAAGAAGAAAGAAGGAGGATGAGGAGAAAGGAGGGGGTGAGGAGGAAGGAGGGGAGGAGGTGGGAGGAGGGGAGAACGGGGAAGAAGGGGAAGAGGGAAGGAAAGAAAAGGGGAGGAGGGGAGCAGAGAGAGGGAGGGGGAGGAGTAGAGGAGGGGGAGGAGGAAGAAGAAGGCAGAGGAAAAGTAGGAGGAGGAAGAGAAGGGAGAGGAAGAGGAGGAAGTGTAGTAAGCCATATTGTAGCCATTTTATGCAAGTAGCCATTTTATGTCAGGTTCAAATGTGCAAATGTTTGAAGAGGAGCAAAAACAAGTTTAACTGTTCCTTGAACCCCAAGGCCAAGCAGGGATGTGCAGAATGGTACGTCCCTCCCCAAAGACTCTGTTCTGATGGCCTTGCTTGCTAATTAGAAGCCTTGCTAGCAGGTGGCTCATAAAACAGAACAAATGTATTCTCGGCCTTGAGTTGCTTTTTTGGTCACTGCAAAAAAAGAATATTAAGACAGGAGTTCAAGAATCAGCTCTGCTATCTGCCATCAGCTGGTAGCCTCTCTGTGTCTTCTTTAATCCACGTCTTTCCCTCTGGGTATCCGGATCAATGTAACAAGACTGGATCCCGTTAAGGAAGAAGAGGAGGAGGAGCAGGAAAAGGAAGAAGAAGAATTATTGACAGCTTTAAATTGGCCAAGGTGTCCTGTGGCTAACTAAGTTTTGAAAATGCTGAGTTGAACGGGAATGTGATTTTTCTGGCAAAAAAAAAAAAAAGAATTCATGTCCAATTCCTGTTGTACTCCAAAGCTTATCCATGACATTTCAGCATTAGATTTTCAAATCATCTCATAAATTTATCATTTCACTGAGTTATTCCAGAACCATTTCTCCTTATTCTCAGATTGAAATAACTAGTCCCTGTTCTCTTCTCTATTACGTTGTTGTAATGTACCATCAAGTTAGAACCAACTCGTAGCTCACCCTGTAGTGGATGATCAGAGACCTAAGTCACATGTGAGGAAAACGGTCCATATTTCTCCCACAGAGTGGTTATTGAATTCAAATCACTTGCCTTTGGGTTAGCAATGCAATTCCTTGCCATTAAGCCACCAGGCTCCATTTATAGCACCCGCATGTTTTGCATACTTGTTAACTCCTTACTAGATGTCAAGGTCAAGTCTAAGAGCTAAACCCAAGTCTTACTCAGAACTAATGGACCACTTGAAACAGCAAGGTATGCATTAATAGTTAACCACATGAATTTAACTAGAATTTGATTCTTACATGTATTCATTTATGCAACAGTATTTGCTGAAAGAAGAGGTTTAGGCTCTACAGATAACCAGATCCTAATCAAATTCCAAATTTTTAATAACTTGCACATGGACTAAGAATTTATTTAAAAATAAGAGAGGGATTCCATCAGAGTTTCACCCATCTCTGCCCTTTAACTGGATTTTGACTCACAGCAATCATAGACAACTGCCCAATCACAAAGAGTTGTCTTTTTAAACAGACATTGGTAGCAATTGGTAAAATGAGATAATGTCTGTTTAAAAAGACAACTCTTTGGTAAACTAATTAAAAAGTTTCTAAATAAAGGCCATCTGTACCTTTTGTCTTCCTTCTTCTAAAGCTGCTTCCAGCTGTCTGGCCAATGATATATATTCTTCAGATTTCTCTTTAAATTTGAGATTACTGTGCTTAAGACATTCTTCTTGGTGTTCCAGCTTCTTTTCAAGTTCTTTATTTTCTGCATCCATCTGTTCTAATTTTCTTTTTTACAGAAAGCATACATTTTAAATTACTGTGTGTGCAGGAAAATCTAAACATCAATTTAAAGTCAATTTAATTCTTACTTTTTAAGGTTTTCACACTTCAATTGAATAAGATAATTCTCCTCTTCCAGAGAAAGCTTTGTCAGAAGACTGTGATTGCCATCAATCTAAAAGGAAAAAAAAATCCAAGTAAGTTCTTAATTATTTTCCTTACAATCAATTTCCAAAGAAACTAAAGATTGTACTGTAAAAGTAACCATAAGAAGGAATGTATAAATATTACTATTCCTTCTACAGAGAAAGGCATCAGGCACTGCACTAAAGCACAAATATTTACATTCTTGATTAATCTTAAAAAATTATACTGTCTCCTTATATTGGTAGCATCATAATTGATGGTGAAAAGATTAAGATTGTTCACAGCTTTAGTTTGCTTGGCTCCACAATCCACACTCTTGGCACCAGGAGCCAGGAAATTAAAAGACATTTTGCAATGGGAAAGCCTGCAGTTAGAGACCTCTCTAAAGTACTGAAGAGCAACGATGTCAGTCTGGAGACTAAGGTGCGCCTGATACAGGCCCTGATCTTTGCAATCACTTGCATCAGAGAGCTGGACAATGACTACGGATGATAGAAGGAGAATTGATGCCTTTGAGCTGTGGTGTTGGAGTATTGAATATACCATGGACGGCTAAGAAAATGAACCTTGGAGATAAAGATTCTGAAGCTTCATCTGACATACTCTGGACATGTTGCAAGGAGGGACCAGTCCTTGGAAAGGGATGTCATGCTTGCGAGGGTGGAGGGACAGCGCAGGAGAGGAAGACCACTTATGAGATTGATTGATTCAGTGACTGAGGTAATGGGGTGATGTCAGAGACAATGAGATTGGCACAGGATAGAGCAGGGTATAGGACTGTTGTACATAGGGTCATTATGAGTCACAGGAGACTAGACAACACCTAACAATATCAACCACCTAATAAAAATTACATCTGGATTAAGACAATGGAAACATTTTGATCAATTTTTTAATTGAGAAAAAGGAACTTATTAAGTTATAATGTGATACCATTCAACATTATTAATCTTATACTAGACATTTCTAGTTTCTTGTATATGTTTCTGTTTAATATAAAGATATTGATTGATAATTAGATATTTGTGAAATTGTGATTAGAATAAAAAATGACTTTTTTGTGATAAACAAGTTATAAAAAATTGGCTAAAGATAAACTTAGCCTTACTGGTTCCTGTACTTTTAAAAATTGAACTTACACATGGTTTAAAAATTTTTGCTTATAAAAGAATTACCATAGTTTGGCTGTTGATTTACATTTACTTGGTTATTCTGTAATACTTTTCAAGAAAAATATCACTTTATAAATTTAAATTCAGCAAGGTTTTATTTGCATTTTTTTTAAAAAAAAACCAAGATTCATTTCAAACTAAAAAGCAAATAAGACTTGGAGGATAGGTAAGGAATCTGTTTAAAGAAAACCAGGAACCTAGTTAAAGAAAATAACTTTAAATTAAAGAAGAGGACTTGTGACTACAGATGGGAGTTCTGGTGGCCTAGTTGCACTGCCCAAGGGATATAGTTAGAATTCACCAGCTCCTCCAGTGAAGAAAGATGGGTAACCTCCTTTTATGAGATTTACAGCCTCTGAAAATCCACTGGAGGGTCAGCTATGAGTCCTTTCCAACTTATTGGCAGATAACGGCAACAACTACAGTTGGAGAGGCTTCTTTGGAAAAATTATTAACAAAAACAAATTTTTAGTAAGTACTGGGCTAGGTGATGTCTCTATGATAATCAATAGGACCCGCTAAGTCTATTCTTTCGGAAATATAAAAATATATATTGGAAAAAAAGACTAAATAATTCTAATAAATATGATGACAACGTTTAACAATTTAAAATTGTTGCAGACAATTTCTCTTCTCTTGAGACCAAGTACATATATATATTGCATATGTACAAATACAAATGTATATATCATATATACATGCCTATCATATATAAATATTTACAGATTATCTCCTATTATCACTACTTCCTCAAATGCTTGAACATACATTTGTATGAAAAGCTAAATTAGCAATCTTCCTTAACAGTTTTTGCACCATTAGATACTAAACGAATAGCTTAGAAAATAGGTGTATGGTATTAGCATGAAACTTGATATTTTATTAGATGGATGTTAAAAAACAATAAAAATCAGCCTTGACATGAATGTCATCAACTGGTGAAACCATGCCATAGCACTGCTTCCATATGTGTCGCGAAATGAGGCCTGATCGATTGCTCGCCACCTGGCCCTGCAGCTCCCTAACGGTCTGCTCCTGGTCTGTGCACTTCCCCCGGCTGCGCTGCACACTCTCCTGACACTCATGAAGCCTCTGCTCAGCTGCCGTCAGTGAACTGCGGATGCGCTCTAACTCCTTCAGATCAGACTCCGTCTGGCCTCTCATCTGAGTTGTGGCATGAGGGGAAACAAGTACAAGGTCACACATTCAGTATCAATATTTTCACCATCTTAAATATTAGAAATCTCTGTAGTTTGTCGAACTACTCTAGGCATAATGGTTTTAAATGAAAAGATTAACCAAGTATAAATGAATACTTATTTAGACTGTTTAGTAAGAGTAGTGGGTGAAGTGAGTGGTAATTGCTTATTCAGAAAGTTTGTTGCACAAATGAATATAGTAATATTAGGTTGCAGGGAGAAACCCCAATTAGAAAATGGAAACTTCTTTTACTACTGTCATATGTATCCAAACTCTTCTAGAAATTAATAATACTTATTAAAGAGTTCAGATGGTGAAGTCCTGGGGATATAATGTAGTGATGCATTGAGTTGCTAACTGAAAGGCCAGTGATTCGATTCCACCAGCCACTCTGGGAGAAAGATGATGCAGTAAAGATCTGTAAAGATTTACAGCCTCAGAAACCCAGTGGAGGGTCACTCTCAGTCAAGGGTAGTGAGTTTGATGTTTTTTCTTTTGTTTGCTTTGTGTGTGTGTGTGTGTGTGTGTGTGTGTGTATTTGTTCGTTTTAAGTGATAGCTATTACTAATAAAGTTACTAATTGCTTTGTTCTGGGATTTGTTTGTTTTTGTTGCTATTGTTACTATCTAGCCATTCGTACTACAATAATTATCAATTATTTTAATTATCTATTCTTATAATTTAGGTACATAACTAATTCAAGGGGTTTACTGTAGAAGATTTTGAGACAGAAATTATTATCAGTCCTTACTAGATTATAATTTGATGATTAACATTTCTATGGAAAAAATTTCTTTTATCCAGTTTATTTTCTGATTGCTGCAGTTTCTCAATGCAACACTTTTATGGAGATGTAACAAGAAGCAACATGAAGAAATGCATGTACTGCTGATTAAGGAAAAAAATAACCACATGCACAGATGGCACTTAGTATCTACAAAAGGAAGAAAAAACGGTAAAGTTTCCCTAAGTCCGTGAACACCCGAAGTTTCTTTCTTCTTCCTTTTATTTAAAAAAAACCCTATTTATAATTTAAAAAAAAATCTATTTAGAATTTGTTGTGTGCTGTCGAATCGGATCTGAGATTGCCCTTCTTTCTCCAGCAGAGCACCTGGAGGATTCGAACTGCACGCCTTTGGGATTGCAGTGCAGCTTCTTGCCACTAGGCCACCAGAGCTCCCTAACACCCAAAGTTTCTATGCAACATCTGTAATTCTTGATCATGAAGAATAAAACTAGAACGAAGGACAGTTTTGTGTTCTCCAAACATTAAAGAGCTCATGAGAAAGTTAGGAGATTTAAACACTGGAAAACAAAACAAAACAAAAGAATAATTTCATTTTTAAAAATTCCTAGCTTAACGTCAATAGGAAAACATTGTGACTTCATAATATCTGAACAGCAATGGTCATTCCCACTTCCGCTTTTTGAATAGCTTTTAGCTGCAATGTGGTCAGTGGTAAGGAGTTTTACTACCAACCCAGGAGCAATTAGCTCAAATGCACCAGCTGCTCTGTGGGAGAAAGATGAGAAATTTTCTCCTGTGTGATTTACAGCTTCTAAAAACCCACAATAGTGCTTACTATTAGATGGTTCCTATTCAGGAGCACATAACAACAACAACATGATAGAAGGAGAGAAGACGCAAAGACATGGTTTATTTCTCTGAACTGCTGAAGAGAGAAAGTATATTGTCATAGGATATTGTCCATTTGGTGGGCAAACGTCATCTCTGTCTACCTGGTAGAATGTCTGCTTTCTCTAACCTTTTCTCATATTGCTGCTTCCTCTGTCTTCTGTACCAAGATAAGAAGGTAACCCAGAAACAATGACCTTGTTATATTTGAAACTCACCAGCCATCATCTCATGACCTTTCTAGCCAAGAGTCAGTGTTCTCTAACTTATCCTGCTTTCTTAACAAATAACATGAAAAGGCCCAAAACGAATGAGATTCCATTTCAGAACTTAAAAGTATTCACAAAAACATCCTAAATTGCCAACACCAGTCTTATCTTTATTCTGTTCTACTAAAATGAATAAAAGAAATGTTTAAAAAAAACAACAAAAAACACCAACAAACAAAAAAACAGAATAAAACATGCAGCTATATCTTCCAAAAAAGTATTAAGCAGAGATTACTTGGGGTTTTAGAGGCAAAAAATTTATTAACAGTAAATAACCTAAGATGAAGGGTGAGACATGTTAAAAATACCATAATCCTGTATGTTGAGTATAAAAATAAACAAATACTTAAGCCTCAAGTTTGCATACTCATGTTTGACAGAGCTTAGGAATAGATAATAATTTTAAAGCTATTTATGTCTGCTCTTATATTAGCAAATTAATATGCTTCATGTCTGTTTCCTGAACATCAAAGAGAAAGTGGGAAAAAAGATTCATTCAATTCTGGCAACACTGTAAGCTCATTACAAAGTATTATATCTTCAGAAAACAAAGAGGTTGAGAATTGACAATTCCTACATAAGATAATTTTAAAATAAACAAAATTAAAGATTATATATATGTAATTAAAATATACTATGATTATTACAAAAACATCACACTTACTTTCTCTAATTTTTTATTTTTGCTTTTCATTATTTGTCTATTTTCATGTAATAATTTTTCGCATTTGCTTTTTACTACTGCAGCTGCTTCTTGCAACTTCTGTACCTGAAATTAATTAATTATAACAACATGAGTTATTTCATTATGACCACAACATGAAATTAAAATATGAAGGTTTATGTTACCAATTTTAAACAAATCATCATTTACTTATCAATATTCTCATTGTTGTTGTGTAGTGTCGAGTCAGAACCGACCTACAGCTGACCCTCCAGTGGGTTTTCAGAGGCAGTTCACCTTATAGGAGCAGACTGCCCATCTTTCTCCCACAGAGTGGCTAGTAGCCTCGAACCGCTTGCCTTTCGAACTGCAGTGCAGCTGCTTGTCACTAGGTCACTAGAGCTCCCGTGAGCGAATCAGATAAACATTAGGTTTATCTAATGTTATTCCGTCGTTAAATAAGGTAATCACTCATCACCCTATTATAAGAATATATAGGTTAATGCCTCTCGAAAGAAACAACCTCTGGTCTAAATTCCCATTTATTCTTATTAGTCCCTACCTCCCCCTCCCCTGGGGAGCTCTGCGGGCTTAGCAGTAAGAAGCTAAACTGCCGACCCACAGACATGCAGTATGAATCCACCAACTGCCCCACAGGAGAAAGATGGGCAATCTCTGCTTGTTCGGTTTACAGCCCCCAAAACCTGCTAGAGTGTCAACTATGAGTCAGTTCCATCTCAACAGCAATAAGTTGTTGTTGTTTGTTTTATTAGGAAAGGGTAATTATTACAAACAGGTATCATTAAATTAAATATTCAAGATAACAAACAAATGTAATGAAGACTCACAGGATAGATATTAAAGTTAGCATTCTTATGTAATTAATTTTAAATTACTTTTAGAGCTATCCAGTATTTACAAAAGCAGAATTTGATTCAGAAATTGGCAGAATTATCTATTTATAAAAGCATTGAGGAACTTAAGAAATATTTAGGACAAACTGTATTCTTTCACAAAAATAATAGCCTCCCCTCTCTCAATTCTGCTTATTTCAACTGTAAATAAATGAGGTGTTTAAAGGATCTATTAAATTAAACCAATTATTTAAAATAAATATAAGTCACCTGAGTTTTGTATACTTCAGTAAGCTTTTTCTGTTGGCTTTCTACTTCTTGCAATTCTAAAAGTTCATTTTCAACAGCAGTAGAATTTTCTTTCAAAGCAGCAAGCATGGCCTAGCAAGGAATAAACAAATAGATTTTATAAATCACTGGAATACTTTTCTATTCCAGATATAGGATTATAAAATAACTCATTTGTCCATAATTAAGAATTCTTTTTTATTACACACATTTACATTCTAAAGTTTAAGAACTCAAACTAAAGTATCAAGGCTTTCACAGAACCTCAGGGTAAGTGATAAAGAAGTGGTCACTTTCATTTATCCTCCAACAACTAACTCAATGGACAACAAGTAAAAACAAACCCAGATCAAACTCAGACCTCCAGATAGCAGCAGAAGTATCAGAGAGTTAAGGTGAGTTCAGAAACATGAGAAGAGTGTCAGGGGCCCCATAGAAGCCTTCTAATAACATCCAAAATACATGCTCACTGCAGTCATTGTGGGACTGGGTTGAGCACTATCTCCAATAAAGAACAATATCAGATTGAAAGCTAAGAAGAAGGTTGTAGACTGGCTTCTAAGGTTGTTTGGCATTGAGCAGGTGAGCAGGACAAAGGATTTCAGGGCCCTGTGAGAATGCTACCAGAGTGAGCTCCGGTGGCTCAATGATAAGACGTGCTGTAATCCCAAAGGCATGTGGTTTAAAACTACCAGCTGTTCCATAGGATTGGAAATATCCTCCTGTGAGATTAATCTGACTCTGAAAACCCAATGGAGGATCATCTATGAGCCAGTTCCAATTCAATGGCATCCAACAACTTACTTTATACTAGGTACATATATGGTTTTTGTTATTGTTTACTGTTTGCTCTTATCAGTACAGCACTAGTCTGTCAGTTTTTTGGTACTGGGGTAACCTGTGGGTTGCTCTGAGGCTGGAAGCTATATCACCAGTGTCTCAAACGCCAAAACAGTCACCAGTGATGGAGAGGTTTCAGCAGAGCTCGCAGATTAAGACAGACTAAGAAGCAGGAAATTCAGGAATTCTACCAACTTTGTAGTCTGACGTTGACCAGCTATAGAGTCAAGACGCATTAATAATAACTAGTGACTGGAATGCAAAAGTTGGAAACAAAGTAGAAGGTAAGGGAGTCAGAAATTATGGGATTCATGAAAGAAAAGAGGCTAGAGTTAGAATGACTCCATTTTGCACATTCAACGATTTCTTCATTGCAAATACCTTTTTTAAGAAACTCAGATGGTAGCTATACACATAGTGTATGTATACACTCACAGAAATCAGATTAACTAGATCTGTGGGGAGAACCATTGGAGCTGCTCAGTATTAGCAGTCAAACCCTGCCAAGCGCTGACTGTGGAACAGATCGTTAACTACTGACAAGTTCAAACCAATGTGGAAGAAAACTTATAAAAAAACACAAGAACCAAAATACAACCTTGAGTCTAAACCAACCTGAACTTAAAAATCATACCAAGAACAAATGTTTCTTCTCAATTTTGAATGATTTGCCATCCATGCTTGACTTCTAATGCTACAGCTTCCTGGGTTCCTCTACTGCTCATAGGGTTTTCAAAGGCCTGTTATTTCTGAAGTGTATGGCCCATCCTGCTTCTTAGTCTGTCTTAATCTGGATTAATCATGGATGAGATCTTTGTTGTCATTCCACAATCCATCTGATCTTTGATAATTAGTGTTCAATGCCTCAAATGCATTCTTGAGATAATGTTTAAGTTCAGAGGTGGGTTAGACTCAAGGTTGTATTTTGGTTCTTGTGGATTTGTTTTAAATTTCTTTAACACCAGTTTGAACTTGCATTTGACTAATTAATGGTCAGTTCAACAGTTAGCACCTGGCAGGTTTTAACTGCTGATACTGATCTTCAATGATTCTCCCCACAGGTCTAGTCAATCTGATTCCTGTGAGTGCATGTATACATACATTATGTGTATAGCTGCCATCTGAGTTTCTTCAAAAGGTATTCACAATGAATAAATAATTGAATGTGCAACATTCAGTCATTTCATCTCCAGCCTCTTTTCTGTCACCAAGCCCATAATTTCTGACTCCCTTTGGTGCATATATTTGAATAATGGTTGTATTAACAGGAGTTCTTTGTACACAAATATATAATATCCTATAATTCATATCACTGTACTTCAGAACAGGACCTTTTAGTACAAATGCAACATCGTTCTTCTGGAATATGAAAAGCATTAAATATGAATGTAGGAATACTAGAAGTTGTAAAAAGTGAAAAGAAGTACATAAACATTTTAGGCATCAGTAAGCTGAAACTAATTGGCATTGGTCACTCTGAATCAGATAAACATATGATATAGTATGCTAGGAATGAAAAGTTCAAGAACAGGTTTGAGGTATTGAACACTAATTATCAAAGAGCAGATGAATTGTGAGATGACAACAAAGATATAACCCATGAGAGAGCAGAAGGTCATTACAAAGACAGAGAAGAAAGAAAGATGAAAGTAAGTATCAGAAGATATTTTGACAATTGCATGAGAACATCAAGAAGCCAAAACAAAGGGATAAGATGCCAAAGTAAAAGAGATGAACAGATTTCAAAATGCAGCTCGGAAAGAAAAAGTATCATAAAAGAATGTGCAAAGAGTTGAATAATAAAAAGAGGAAAACTTGCTCAGCATTTCTCAAGCTGAAAGAACTAAAAACCAAATTGAAGACGTGGGCAAAAAATAGCCCCAGGAATAGATGGGATACAAACTAACAAGTGTTAACTAACTGATGCAGCCATGGACATGCTCACCAGTAAGTGCAAGGAAATTTGGAAGGTAACTACCTGGCCAGTTGACTGGAAGAGATCTGTATGTGTTCCCATTCCCAAGAAAGGAGATCCAACAGAATGTGGAACTTACCAAACAATAACATTAATACCACACACAAACAAAACATTGCTTAAGATCACCCAAAACCAGCCAGAATAGTATATTGAAAGAGAACAGACATAAGTTTAGGTTGGATTTAGAAGTGGCAGTGGCATGAGGGATATCATTGCTGATGTCAGAAAGAAAGCAGAGAATACTGGAAGAACGTCTATTGGTACTATACTGACCATGCAAAGGCATTTGACTGTGTGGGTCACACCAAGCTATGGCTAACAAGGAGAAAAACAGAAATTCCACAACATTTAGTTGTGCTCATGAAAAATCTACACATAGAACATAGCTGTTGTCCTCACAGAGCAAGAAAACAATGGTTCAAAATCAAGACAATTGTGTTAGGACTGTATCCTTTCTCCAATCTATTCAATTACAGGCTGAGCAAATAATTTGAAAAGCTAGACTTTATTACGATTGTGACATCAGAATTGGAGAGAGATTCATCAATAACCTACATAATGCAGACCACACAACCTTGCTTGATGAAAGCAAGAAGAACTTGAAGCACTTGCTGCAGGAGATCAAGGACCAAAACCTTCAATATAGATTTTATCTCAACATCTAGACAAAAATTCTCACCACTGGTCCAATGAGCAATATCATCGCAGATGGAGAAAAGACTGAAGTTGTCAACAATTTTATCTTACTTGTATCTACAATCAACACTCTTGGTACCAGCAGTCAAGAAATTAGGAGACATACACCATTGGGAAAATAAAGGGACCTCTTCAAACTTAAAGACCCAGGTGAACCTGATTCAGGTCATTGTCTTTAATCAACTGCCCAGGTAAGAACTGGGCAATGGATAACAAAAGAATTGATGTCTTTGAGTTGTGGTATTGGAAAAGAGTACTGAATATCCCCTGGACTGCCAAAAGAACAAGCAGATATATCTTGGGGGAAGTGCAGCCAGAGTATTTCTTAGAGTTAAGAATGGTGAAGTCTAGTCTCATAAATTTTGAGTATGTTATTAGGAGGGGCTATTCTTTGAAGGCCATTATGATTGGAAATGTGGAGGGTCAGTAAAACAGTAAATGACCCCCAGCAAGATGGATTGACAATGTGACTACAGCAATGGGCTGAAGTATGTCTGAGAAGATAAGGATGGCACAGGACAGGACAATATTTAGACCTGCTGTTCATAAGCATTATGAGTTGTACCAGACTCGATTGAATACAACAATACAGTCAGACAGGCACTATAATAGGGAGGCACTGAAAAGTCACCAGGACAAGAAGAATATGTGAGAAAGACAACACAGAGGGAAATGGTCAAGTCGTAAACCACGAGGACAGAGCTGGTGCAGGGGGACCCAAGAGGGAAAGTCAGAAAGTGTTCTTTATCTTCTTGATTTTCTGTATTAACTCTTGTCTCAATACTACACTAGAAATGAGTAAAATTATTAAAGCATTAAATAAGTAGCTATCATTACTGTTATTCTCCAGTCATCCCAGGAACTAAATGTAAAACACAATAAAAACATGATCTCTGGCCCTCAGTATAAAGGATGGGGAAAGTTAGGGGAGGTAAGTTATACAAACAAGCACTTAAAATGAAAGTCTTTAAAAAAAATAATGAAAGTCTAAATGTAAATAAATCAGAGTGCATATTAGGGAAAATGATAATAGTAAATTCAGCCAGAAAAAAAAAATTTCAGGTTTAAATAAAATTAAAGATAATTCTGCTTGAGAACTATAATCATATGTGTTTATCTTTCTTCCTTTCCAAGCCTAAAGTAATAAATATTTTAAGTCTACAAGACAAAGAGAACAGATTTTGGATCATCAGGGAACAAAATACTTCTAATGTTTTTGAAAAACCAACGTCTGATTCTGAAGTAGGAATAGATGCAGCTGAAGAGGAAGGTGATCTGACCTTGTAAGGTAAAGAAGCTAGCTTTACCCAAAGTAAGGTGGCTTTGTTCCTGAGAAATAATCCTTAAGGCAGTTGAATGCTTTGGTCTGACTCTTCAAATAAACAGAACCAGAAATTTCAGCACAGCTCCTGGAAAGCAGGCTTAGAGATGAAACCATTCACACTGAAACAGGGACAGGGGGTGGACCTCAAAAAGAAGGAATCTGAGGAAAACAGGTTTTCAGTGAATAGAAATATAATAGAAACGTAACAAAGAGTTTGAGGGACAAAATAAGAGTATAATAAGCAGAAAGATAGAA